TTTTATTAAGGTATTATTGATATACACTCTTATGAACATTTTTCATGAAAAACAATGGTTATTATATTTACCCATGTTATCAAGTCTCCACCCACACCCCATTGCAATCACTGTCCATCAGTGTAGTAAGATGCCACAGATTCACTATTTGCCTTCTCTGTGCTGCACTGTCTTCCCTGTGACCCCTCACACCATGTGTACTAAGCATAGTACCCCTCAATCCCCTTCTCCCTCTCTCCCCACCCGCTCTCCCACACCCCTCCCCTTTGGTAACCTCTAGGCCCTTCTTGGAGTCATAAGTATTTAAAAATTTTTAAATATGATTTCTAACTTGTACATTGATATCAGTTACTATGATCTCAGGACTATAGAATTTTTAGGGTGAAGGGATTGCAAAAATCTACGTCTGGCCCCCTCTGTTGGCAGACGAAGAATCTGAGGCTTAAAGTGACATGCCCACAGCCACACAGAGCTGTTAGTAGTGGAGCTGGGGAGACTAATGACTATAAACTTAAAAAATGGGAAGAAGAGATGTTTTATGATTTACATTTGAATAAGCCCCCTTCTTACAGAGAAAACCCCTTTGATATCAATATAGTAGAGGCAAGGGGAGGTATGTGGCAGGAAGAGGAGCTAAGGGCCTTGTCTTGAAGTTGCCTTCAGCTAGTAAGAATGCTGTTTTTACTTAGATCAGTAAAAGTAACAGTTTTCTAAAGATACTTTCCATCAGACTTAAATACAAGTCATCTCTCAGTTTTGAAAGTGACCAGCAAGGCTGTCTGGTTGATAATGACCTCTAGTGAGATTTCTCTCTTCGTAGCCAGCTCAGCATCTTTGAAGAGAGAGTCTCAACTGCTTGTACTCTGGATCTGGTTGTAAGACAACAAAGCCATTCTTTACTTGAAATTTCACTCGCTCTTCCCAGTGAAGTCAAAGAAAGCGCTCCTTTTTGCCTAACGAAATAAAGGTGGGGAATGGAGGGTGGCCATTTAGAACAGTCTGTGTATTAGTTTCCCACCAGAGGTTCGACATGTGGGGAGAAAAGGGATTTTTGTTAAAGTGTCAGCAAACTCTATTCTCTCTCCACCTTCCAGATAATACAGAGCAGACAAACAGTGAAGACAGTATTAGAAAAGAACAATGCAACGTCTCAATGTTCACATAAATCCATGTACATGTGCTGGTTTGTAATGCTACCAGCCCACACTGCTTGATCATAAAAAATATATTTCTTTCTAATAAAGAGGCTCGTGATAAAGCCCATTTCCTTCTGCATTAAGGTGTTGGTATTGTTTTACTTATATCATAATTGTCCTGATATAAGGAGATTCCTGTTCCTGTGGGGATTACAGGGGTCCCCACCCCCTACCACCCCCATATCTGTAGATCTGCTTTTCATGGTTTCAATGAACTGTGGTCAACTGCCATCTGGAAGCAGATGATTGTTGTTCTTATGTATCGCCAGAAGGTCAATAGTAGCCTAATGCTATGTCACAATGCCTACATCATTCACCTCACTTCATCTCATCATTTAGGCATTTTATCATCTCACATCATCACATGAAGAAGGGTGAGTACAGTAAAGAAGATTTTGAGAAAGACCACATTCACGTAACTTTTATTACAGCATATCATTATAACTTTCATTTTCCTAGGAGTTATCGTCGCTAACCTGTTACTGTACCTACGTAACATATTAAACCTCATTATAGGTACATATGTACAGGAAAAAAACATAGTCTCTGTAGGGTTCAATACTATCTGGGATTTCAGGAATGTGTCCTAAACTAGGGTCTTGGAGTGTATCCGCTGAGGATAACGAGGGCCAACTGAATGTTGTGGTTGACTTTGATGAAACAGTAGTTCATAGACCACCTCGTTCACTGAGGGGACAAAAGTTCTCTTAAACCAGACTTCTCGGCTACCATGGCAAACAGTGGGAAGTTGTGGCCTCCGTCAGGTCCCTAGCTTCACCATGGGGGAACCCTTGTTAAATTAGAGCCCTGTACCCTTGGACATGAAACCTCCTGTGGACGTGTTTCTTGACGGGAAATGTGACTCTGAGCTGCTCACTGAGAAGAGCAAGCCGAGTTGTGGCTGGCGTGACAATGTCCTGTACATGTACGTATACATAGTCACATTTGTATCACTGCTGAGGGGAAGAGAGTGACACACGGTAGACACTCAAAAAATGCTAGTTAGGTCTTCATTATTCGGGTAGGTACATGGCATTAAACTGCCTCAAAGAAATGTTTTAAGACCAATGTGATTTCAGAGCGATCAAGAAATAAATATTTCACTTTCGTTTTTCCTTATTAGTTTTCCTGTTAAACTTTGTGTAGTCTTGGCACCTCCAGTAATCTTTATGAGATTCTGCTTTCCTATTAACTGAAGAATGGTGATGCACTCGAATTGCCTAGTTACTTGGAAATAGCTTCCTTATATTTCTCCCTTCCTCTGTTTTAATCGACTACCTTTATTTAGCTTCCTTATTCCAAGTGCAAAATTCACTGGTGTTAGTGGAGACAAATTGTATAGCAAAGTACTTTCGTAGCATTTTGCCCCTAAACTTTCCAATAACCCTGTTTTTTCCTCAGTGTCTCTTTAACCATTCAGTTATGTTGTGTTCCTCCTGTTGGAGGATGGAATAAAGAGTGCAAATGGCATATTCTTTAAGGCATCTTCTCTGTATAGCATTTGTCTCAGCTGTGAGTTGGATGGTTCTTTGAGGTCAAAGGTCTTACTGATGAGGGTCAGGAAGACGGGTGTTCTATGGTGTGCATAAAGATTCCACGATTTGGAAACCAAAATAACAGGCAGTGGGATTCCCATCACATCATGAAAAGGGAGGCTTCTTCTCCATGGCTTCTCCTGGATAAGAAAGGTCATCATATCCACACAGACCACAGAGGTACATGTAAGTGAGGCCAGGATTTTCTGCAGAAACTTTGGCTGGATCTTTTCTAGCACATGAACAATTGCTCAATTAAATTCCCAGAGGTCCACGCCATAAAGAAGGGCAGAAGCTATTCTAGCCTGGACATTGTTCAGAACTAGTGTCATCAGTTGCTGGCTGTGGCTTTAGAAAAACCTAGTGTTCCTGTGGATCACTGAGTTTGAGCCCCATGTTGCCTCAGGAAACGTGGAAAGATGAGTAAATTGCAGCAAGTCTCCCTAGTTACCTGAAGGGGTTGGCTTGTTTCTATGGGGTTGTTTTGATAGACCAATGGGAGCTATATGAAACAGTGTTTTGCATTTAAGTTAGTTAGTATTGAGCCATTTTTTTCTAGTAATAACTTGCTACCAGGACTTATTGTATATAAAAATTACTTTTAAAGTGTTAATTTATATTATTGGCAACGCCAGAGAAACAGGTAGTGTTAGTTGAATATCTTTGCAATTTCATACCCAACAAACTATTCTTGGACAGGAATCAGGGGGAAGCGATTCTGCAGGATGTCAGTGTCGGTGGGCATCTGCCACAGACCAGGCAGTGTGCCCACCACGCAGATGACGCTGAATCCACACACCACGCCAGGGAGGTAGGCCACGGGTTGTCCAGTTTTACACACAGGGGTACCAAGGAGCAACAGTTAAGTACTGCCAAGGCCATACTTATATGCGTCAGTAAATGGAGAAATTAAGCTTCAGATGCAGATCTTTTAACCGAGTCTAGTTTTCTTTGAGACACTACGACCCGAGATAAACACTAGAGAGCACAGCTGGGCTTGACCGTGGAAGTTGACACGTACGTCTCATCTCACAGTCAGCATCGAACACGAAAACCTAGAGGGCCATTCAGCCCAGTCTTCTGTCTTGAATTCCACTGCATAAACCTATTTTTTTAATAAAAAATATTCCCTCAGCTTGGCTCCAAAGACTTCCCTTTCCTCCCACCACCTCTATACCTACTAACCTGGGGCCCATGGATCTCTATTGATCAGGCATTGAAGCTGCCTCCGAAGGGGGAAGCCCAGGAGGAGGGGGACACGGTGGGGGTGGGGGGCGGTGGTAAGCAGAGGATGGCAGGGAAGAAGGAGGTGGGAGAGATCCTTATGGGTATTTATTTTGATTAGTCAATGTGACCTTCAGGAAAAGGTCAACCTCTATAGCACTAATGGTGCAGAGAATCCTGGGACTGGAGACGTCAGAAATGCAGAGTGAGAGATCTAAGGTTATCGAGACCTGAGACCTGGAGACAGAGGTGACTTGGCCAGGGCCACACAGCGGGTCACTGGCATGGGTGTTGTTACTGTGCTGCATAAGGACATGGAGATTTTAAGGCAGTTGGCATAGCTCGCTTCAGCATCTCACAGTGGTCCCCATGAGTTACGCTTGTCCAGTGTCACGTACCAGTGAACAGTTCCCTTTTTCTGTACCATTACAGAGGGAACTTGGAGATTATGTAAGACAAACCAAATGATTTCTAAAACTGATTCTGATCCCATAATTAGTTTTCCAAATGAGGAAACTAGTTCAGAAAGAGATACGACTTGCCCAACTAGTGACTGGTTCAACTAGTGCTTGAACTATGTCTAGAATGCAGGAAATTTTCTATACTTTGTATTCAGAAAAAAAAAATTAGACAGGTCTGTGTGATGAGATGACCCACAGTGGTGGAAGTTCACTATTAGAAATATATTTTGGATGCCACTGACATTTGCTGCTGATTTTTTTATGATATTATGTCTTCTTAATAGAGTTGCATTTTGAACCATGTATGAATCTATTAATGTACTAAATTAATGAGTTTGGGGTTATTATCTAGATCATTTGGTATAAAAGGATATTCATATTCATGAGCAAGGCTTGGACTACAAAAAAATTTGTGAATTCAGAGAAATTTATACTAGATGTATAAGGGAAAATTATACTAGAAATTTTTGCATATGCAAATAAGTTAAAGATGAAAAGTTTTGGTTGTGGAAAGAAAGAACTTAAAGAAAAAGAAGATGAGAGAGCAATTTGAAAATAATACATTTCTAAAATTTGTTTTCTAGGCTCTAGTTCAGGTTCAAAATTAAAAGGTCCTGAGCTGAGTTTAAAAGGCTCCCAGCACGTCATGCAAGCAGGCCAGACACTGTATCTCAAATGCAGGTAAGTGTGTGTGTTGGTTTGGGGTAATACAGTTGCTTTTCTTAAGGCAAATCATTCCCTGGCAGAGTAGGACGGTCACCCCTCAGAGTAGAAAAGTGGGGACTTCAGTGGTCTCTTGTGTTCTGCAAAGTGCAAGCCACCACATGTGTCTAGTTTCACAAGGAGGGTGATTCAGCTAGGAGAGACTCATTCAAGGGGAAACAGCAAAGGGAGGCCCTGAACATTTTTGCATCTTTTGTAACCCAATTTTGAGTTGTTTGAATGCTTTTCTAAAAATGTTGCTTTCTGTAAAGAAAAAAAATGGCCACACTTAAGAAAGGACCCAGAATAGCACTTCCTAATGAAATGGATGCTTAGGAGGTGACCCCAGCCCCATAATTGTGCTTTGTTTTCTTATCTGCATTTGCAGGGGGGAAGCAGCCCATTCTTGGTCTTTGCCTGAAACTGTGAGTAAGGAAAGCAAAAGGCTGAGTGTAACGAAGTCTGCCTGTGGAAGGAACGGCAAGCAGTTCTGTAGTACTTTGACCTTGAACACAGCCCAGGCAAACCACACTGGATTCTATAGCTGCAAATACCTTTCTACACCTGCCTCAAAGAAGAAGAAAACAGAGTCTACAATCTATATATTTATTAATGGTAAGACTTCCATTTTCTACATTCTGTTTACTGTAGTTTGCAGTGGTTTGGAAATGGGGATTTTCAATTGAGTGTGAAAGAAATGGGCCAGGAAAGAGATTCTACCCTTCTCATAGAAAATTGTGGGATGTATTTCTAATGCATCTCTTGAGTGTCAATGCCAACCAGATTTTCAAGGACCAGTCAGCTGATGGTATGGCAGAGACTTGTCTGTGTCGTTCACCACTGTATTCATAGTACATACAACAGTGTCTGGTCATATAGTTGGATGAGTGAATGAATGAATGAATGAAAAGTTTTGGCTCTACTGCTTAATGAATGACAAGCCCGAAGTAGAATACAAGAATTTTTATCCTAACAACTGCATTCTCTTATATATTAGAATGGTAAAATACTGTTCTTTCACTAAATACACAAATGTAATGTTGCTAATGTCTCCTGAATGTTATACAACTGGCTCTGGTTGCTGATGTATTGCTTCATGTTCGTTAAGCAAGTATTATATAATGAATGACATCAGAGATGGCATGTGCCATGGTGGAGTGGAAAGGACAAATGGTAAAAATCCTTCTCAGTTACAATTTTTATGGTACCATTCCCTCCTTAGAGAATGCGCAACTGAACTGATCATATTCAAAGGGACAAAATACAGAATCCTTAGGGAAATTGATGATAGAAATGGATCCCAAGAAAGAATAAGAAAAATAGCCTGCCAGTTTGTTCTTCTTTATTTAGTTCGATCCAGTGTCCAAAACTTGTTGAGAGGGATTTTAAAAAAGTAAGGCCCTAGGGAACATAATGCGAAATCAGTAGGTTCCTCAGCACAAAATCCAGTTAAAAAACCAACCAACCAACCATCAGTATCAATAGCCTCACAGATACATGGAGGGTCTATCTCCTGGTGAGTGAAAGCACTGGGTCTTTGCACTGCAACAGATGATGTTTCTGGTGGGGTTCTTTTTTAGTTCCTGAAATAAGGCAGCTAGGCAATGTTTTACTCGTGCGTGATATGTAATTACCGAGATTCAGGATTAGTCGGAGACAGTAGCAACAGTTGTATGATACTGACAGGAGCATCCTTTCAGCTTTTATCAGTCCAGTTTAGACTGAGCCACTTTTCTGACCCTGCTCCTCCAAACTCCTGCTTTTACATTTTGCATTTTTTCCAGAGATGAGGTAACTGCAGGAGACGACGACTTCCCAGCAGCTTGCCATCACAGGAATGCAATCAGCCCACTTAAAAATAAGAGGAGGAAGAAGGCCAGGGATCTTTGCTTGGGGAAGTCAGCCCACATCCTAGGAAGGAAGTAAGGGCAGCAGGCAGGAAATGAGGCAGGGCGGGGAAGGCATAGACTTTCAGAGATACTTAAGGAAAAAGACTTTCAGAGGTATTTTTGCAGTTCAGGGAGAAGGCAGATGCCAACTTTGATAGTGGTAGAAAAAGTCATATATTCAGCCATCTGTTCTCTATTTCTCATCCCACATACTGTGTTACGTTCTTTCTGGCACTTCTGAAGGAAAAAAAAAAAAAACACTTTTATTCCTGTGTCTCTAGGGTAGGGTGGGTGGGGGGTAATTCATTCATACTAAGATTCTCATAAAACTTTCACCTATGGATTTATCAGATCAAATTTGGATCAAATATTTAAATGAATACAAGAAGACCAACTATTTGTCTATAAAAAATAACATTCAGCTATCATCTTTAACTCCTGCACTATTCAATAGATTTCATGGGTTTATGGAGCCAGTAGATAGAGAGTACAGAACCCATCTTCTTCAATCTCCTTTTTTATTAGGAGAGAAACTTACATATTTAGAATTATTTCCACTTCAAGTATACAACAGTGCAGATCTGGTAAATAACCATTATTTTGGGTGTAAAGTCAATTGTTAATCTACGTCTGATGAGGACAAGGTCCATATCTGTCGTAATTACTTTTACCTGCAATCTGCCTTCCTAGCACAGTGCCTAGCACATCATAAGAATTCAGCAATATTTGTTGCATGAATATATTAAGCAATTAATAGGCTGGGTAGAATACCACATTGAAACTGACGTTAAGAATAAAATACAGACTAAGTGGGAAGGAGTGCCAGGAGTGATTACTGATGTCTGTCATGAGATTGGGAGGGGTAGTAGTGGCCACTGTGCTGCGGTCGATCATGTCTGTCCCACCGTAGTAGTCTGCAAATACTACCACACGGTTTCAAGTCCCAGTATCACAAAACTCCTACACCATTCGGGTGGATACTGGGAAACTATCTATTTCAAAAACTGTTCTTGGAGAATGAAAGATTGTGAAGTTCATTAATTGTGCTTCATGGGACATTATAATGGATATGTGTAAGTACTGTGGATATTATGTGTTCACTGGAAAAGATCAATATAATGAGCCTTATTATTTTAGAATAGCACTAACACTAAAAGATAATTGAATCAATGTAATAGCCATAAAAGAGCATCTCAGTCTTGTTTGTTAATTAACTGAATCAGCAGATATTTGGGACCATTTACATTTGCTGTAGGCCTTTAACTGTAATAATCTGATAGTAACACTGATTTTTCTCTCTTTCTTGATAGACTGATGTTAATATCATAAACACACTTTACTGAAGTCCAAGGTAGCTTGCTATAATTCATTAATCAATTATAACTTTTCCAAATTTCCTAACATTTCATATATTTACTGTTTTCACTATTTTAACAATTTTTTCTGAGAAAATTTGGTTTTATTCTTCCATTATTATGAAACACTTACTAAATGACAGGCTTAATTTCATTCAGAGGCACGGAATTCATCTCTGGTGACTCAGAATTGTCTGTGGAATTAATAAAACTCCAACCAATTCCTAATACACAGCTGTGATTACTCACTAGATATTAACTGGTTATCACTTACTTATTATTGTTGAATATTTACTTTGGAACATGTTATTCTGTTTGGAGGATTTCTGGCCTGATAAGTATCTGCAGATGTGCTGGCATTTCATTTTGATTTTCTATAAAGATGAGGAACTCTGTTAGGTGTGTTTTTTGAAAAGGCATGGGCTTATAGTCTCATAGGGTTCCAAGAAAAAGAATCAGGGCTGTATAGGTTTATCTGTATAAATATAGCATGTGAAGTATAAGCAAACTATTAGACAGACATTACTGACTGACTGCTGTGTAATAGGCACAGTTCCAAGCACTGATTTGTATGTAACATCTGATATGGATCATACAGAAAAATCAGTATCACCACTTGATCTTTATAACTTGTATAAATCCACCAACTTCTGTCCGGATACATTAAATCAATGTAATTACTCAAGTACTTATATTTAGCTACTTTGCTTAATTATTGAACTGTCTGCTAAATTAAAACTCCCCTTGATGTGGTGACTTCTTACATTTCTAGCTTCTTTTCATTTAAACAAATAGTCTTAGTTACATTGGGCCATTTTAATTCTCACAATACTGTGAAGTATTTTTCTCGTTTTACAAGTGAAGGGCCTAAGAGCTGCTTCACATGGAGACTTACACGGGGAGCGACTGTAAGAGTGCAGAACCCATGTTCTTCAATGGGGTGGCGGCAGAATAAGGAGGTCAGGTTCTCAGTGGTGGGAGGTGGTGCAGCGGGCAAGGCTGAGGCAGGAAGGCCAGGTAGGGGCTGCCATGTGCCCTGAGGCAGGAGGCCGGTGGCCCAAGGTCAGGGTGGTATCTGTGGGGGAGGAGAGAAGTCAGAGGGTGGGAGCGATTTAGGTGGCCTTGGTGAGCAGGTGGGTTGCGGTGGGTGCAGGAAAGGGATGTCAAAGGACACCCAGAATCCTCAGGGGCATCTTGGCAGCCTCCTCTAGGCCCCACAGCCACATAGAGCTTTGTCTCCCTAAATGACATTGAAGCCAACAACCCTCCTCCTCTCCTGACAGACCCTTGGCTTGGTCTCCACAAATAGATGTTGAGTAAGAGTAACCTAAAAACACTATACACATTTTAAAACTGCTTTTTAAAGTTTTCGAATTGCTTTTGTGGAAATGCATGGCATCCCCTAGTAATTAAACTATAAAATTCTGGGTCATAAAGAAAAGAAACTATAAATTTCTGCTTAATGCTTTGCTAATGACAAAACAAAAAAAGTCTTTTTAGCCCAAATCTGACAGTAAGGTTTGGGCTACAAAAGCGGATCCATCCCCTTTGCAGAGAGAAAGGAGTGCCTTTGCGCTGCTTTCCTGACCCTCTGCTGCACATGAGAAATTGGATCGAACTCTAACTCAAGTTTTTTTTCTAAAAGTTAGAGGATTTCATTGAAATTATTATTGTAATATGTGACTTGTGACTATAAAGTAAGAAAACTGGCCAGAAGAGCTTTTAAGGGCATCTCCGAAATATTTAATCCATTGCCAGTGTTTCCAATTTAGTTAGAAAGACCTTGAATTTAGCATGTTGAGTTCTGCACCCTGTGAAGTCAACTATATATATCCTTATCCCCTTGGCTATTTAAGTATAATGCCTTCTTGCATAGCAGCTTAATTTCAGGCAGAAAAAGTATCAGGCACATTGGGGGCATAATTGAAAAGTATCTGGAGTTCCAACAACTCAGATATTCTGGGAGAGAATAATCATAATGCCTTCACATAAATATATGTAGTGGGACAAGGCCCTCTCTGGCTATGGGACCCCCAGCAAGCGAAAATACTAACGGTGCAGACATTTTGAGAAAGATTCGATGTAATCATTTATACAGCACTTCGGATTTCCCTCAAAAGCTTTTACCTAATTATCTCTGAGATAAACTGAAAGGATATTATTTCTTCCTTTTTACGTATGAGAAAACAGCCTCAGGGACCTGGCACAAGATAGACAGAGCTACTGAAATGACAAGTCGGAATGGGGTCCAGGCCAGATGCCTAGGTTAGGGCTGTTTTCATTACCCTGTGGTTTCAGTTGTTGACTTGAGACTGTGAACTAGTTGTTGTTTTAATCTTTGAGAGTATAGATTATATAGTTATGAGACTTT